TCTCTCCCCTCTCTCTCTGTAAATAAAAGCGTTGCTACCTTTAAAAAAGATTTATTTTTATTATTTTTAACTTACGTGTATGTGCACTTGAGTGCACAGAGGCCAGAAAAGGACGTCAGATCCCCCTGGTGGTCATGAGCCCCCCAACATGGATGCTGGGAACCAAATGCCAATCTTCTGGAAGAGCAGTAAATACTCTTAGCGTTTGAGCCATCTCTTTATCCCCATGATATTTTTGACCCAGATTAAATAAACACAGATGGCCGTGCTTACGGAAATTCCTTCCCTCTAGCCTTAGAGGGTCAGGTGTGAGTGCTCGGTCTGCGCAGAGGTCTGTTAGCTTTTGATCATTAGGGTCTTTAGGTGTGTAGAACAGCAGAAGAACAGTGTGCAAAGTATCTGTGGATCACTGTTTGCATTCAACTACTGTCAGTGATTGTTTCAGCTCTGACTTTGACCATCAGTTTGTGTGTGTGCATTACACACAAAAGTTACAGGCATCATGATAGTTTTGCTCATAATCTAGTTACGTATGTCTCCCAAAATAATTTTCCTGCATAATTACAATTTCAGTATCAAAAACCAAAGAAAGTTGGGGCTGGAGAGATGGCTTTGTGAAGTGTTTGCTTTGCAAGCATGAGAACCTGAGTTTGATCCCCGGATCCCAGGTACGAAACTGGGTGTGGCATCCCACACCTGGAATCCCAGCACTGGAGAGGTGGAGACAGGAGGGTCCCAGAGGTTTGCTGGCCGCCTGGTGTAGCCAGTCTTCGAGCTCCAGGTTCAGTGAGATGACTTGTCTCAAACAAGAAAATAAGGTGAGGGGTGACTGAGGGTACCTGATGTTCACCTCTGGCCTCCATGTGAGTGTCTACACGTGCATGTGCATATCTGAATGCAAATACACATATTCTGCACACAAAGTAAAAACAAGAAAAAGTAACTGTTTATTATTATGTAATTTCTCTTTTATTTCAAGCTTTCCTAGTTGTCTCCTATTTTTCTAACATTTTTTTCAAAACTGGATTTAATCAAGATTTGTGCATCACCTTCTATTTTCCCAGTTCCTCAGTTTCTTTGGCTGTGAGACAGCCTGTGTTGCCTCTTACACCTCCTGTTCGATGCTTGTTTTAGGATGTTGACTTTCAGAAGGTCCAGACCAATTTTCTTACATTTTTGTTGTTGTTGAGACCTTAACCTGCAAATGGAAGATTCAAGAACATCTTTTTAAAAAGAATTTTGTGTATGAGTATTTTGCCTGTACGTATGTAAGTGCACTATGTGTGTACAGTGCCCCTGGAGGTCAGAAGAGGGTGTTGGATCCCCTGGAACTGGAGTTATGGGTGGTTGTTAGCCACCATGTAGATGCTGAGAACTGAACCCAGGTCCTCTGCAAGAGCAGCCAATAATCTAACTGTAGCCGTTTCTCAGGAACTTTGAAAAACTCGAGCTAAGTATTTTCTAGGGGATTAGCTTTCCATAGCCGTATATATTTCTGACATGCTGTGTTTTGAGATAGTCTATGGATAACTGGAAAATGTTTAAATGGTTTAGGAATATATAAAGCAGAGTTCTATTTTGCATCACCAAATAGCCTGAGATAATAATTTTGCTGATTTTCTTTCTTTCCTATGTGTGTGTCCTGTTTGTTTGGAGAACTGCAGGCACGCGCATACTTGACTGGTTATTTCACTGTCTCTGCACTGTGACTGTCACCCTGTAGAATGTATGCTGAGATTGTTTTTGCTAGGATAAACGTGTACTGAGCCAGCCACATTCTTTCATAGGCATTTAAGGCGAGACACACCCAGATGTAAAGTGTCTGGCGTAGGACTAGAAAGGTGACCCACAGAGCGAATGTCTCTTTGTGTTGAAGGCTTTCTGGCTCACATAGTCATGGCCTGTCTGTCCTGTGTTTCTGTAAGTAGAGGGGAATTCATCAGCAAACACTTAGGGGCAGTGCGTCTGAATTTTGGCTTCCCCTCCCTTTTGGGTGGGTCCTTCATATTTTCTGTTCCTATCAGGAGATCAGGTGTGGCTTGGAGGTAAACATGATCCCTTGCCAACATAAAGTACTTTAGAAATGTTAATATATTTTATGAAGCCAGTGTTTCAGCATATGTATTTTAAGCCATCGTAAAACATGTACCTGCCATGCTCAGGAATGTGCCAAGGGCAAGTATCAAAAACCTACTGAGGGAGGCTGGGAGTGTGTTTTGCTGTGTTGTAGGGTTATACCCTGACAACCTCCAGGAGGCCTGGGGTTCTGGCAGGGAGCGGAATATAAATATCACAGACATCACACCTATTTATGGACTAATTCCTCCAAGTAACAGTGGTTATGGTTTGTCCATTTGGGTGTTTGTGGAGCTCAGGGGCAGTGCTGTGTCGGGGGATGGAGGAAAGATGTAAGCCTGTAGTTAACACAGCAGTCGGACGGGCAAGCCGTGGTCCTTTGAGCTCAGTGGGGAACAGACAGCTTGAATGGACATTACTAGCTTTGAAAGAGAGTTTCATGAACCTTCTGGCCAGGCCATCATTGGTCCAAAGAGAAATGGTAAAGCAGCTTTGTGATTTGGTTCTTGTGTTCTCTGTAGTGGTCACATCACTATTTTTATTTGGTAGGACATCGGGGCACCTGTCTTGTTAGAGTCAATTAAATGATTTGTAATTTGGTGACAGGGCTTTTGCATCAAATAATTTGTAAAGGAACAGAATGGTAGTTGGTTCTGTGCATCTGTTGAAGTATTTATTGAAAGAAAAATACAAAGTGTGATTTTCAGTACATTAAAGAATTTGTATACTTTAGGGGCTGGGGATGTAGCTCAGTGGTACAGAGCGTGGGCTTAGCATGGACAAAACCCTGGGTTTGATATTGAGCACCTGAACAAAGGTGGGGTGGAATTCATATATTTTTAGTTACTTAAATTTTTTTTTGGATTTATTTTTATTTTATATATATGTTTTGTGTGCATGTTATGTAAATGTACCAGGTGTGTACAGTACCATGAAAGTCAGAAGAGGGCATTGGATCCCCTGGGACTAGAGTTAGGGTTGCTTGTTAGTTCCTGTGTGGGTGCTGGGAACCAAACCTGGATCCTCTGCAAGAGCAGCCAGTGCTCTTGACTGCTGAGCCATCACTACAGCTCTTTCTTTTAAATTATTTTTAAAGAGTAGAAAGTAACTGTGCTAAGTGTATATTGCTACCATTTTAAGTCATACATTCTAAGCAAATAAGGTAATACAGTAAGTACTAAAATATAAAGACAAAAGCTAATAATTTAATAAAAATAATGTTATAGAGTAGGAATAAGATGAAATTTTGAACTCATTGAGACTCAAATCAATACATCTCACTTTTTTCATCTGTACAATAAAATTTTTATTATATTATTGTGTGTGTGCATACATACACATGCCAAGGCATGTTCAGAGGACAACTTGGAGAGCTGTTTAGAGAACCTCCCATCATGTGGGGACTCAAACTCAGGTTGTCTGGCTTAGTGGCAAATACCTTCACCCGCTGGGCCACCATGTCCATGCCGGGCCATCATCTGTGTAATAGTATAATTTATAGTAAATGATATACAGTTTATGTTATATAATAAATTTATTTGGTTCCAAATGCAGTTAAAACAAGAGAATATATTTAGAAGTTTAAAAAAAGCCTCCGATTCTTCTAGCCGTGCTTTGTTGAGCACAGAGAGAGAATCCTGGTGGACCGGGAGCAGCAGACGTTGGCCTGGATTCCGGGCCTCGCCTGCATGCTGTGCACCTCTGATGAGTGTTCTTGCCCAGTGCCTCTTCTACTCTCAAGTGTGTTCATGACAGAGGGCAGAATGCTCAGCCTCCTCTAAGCACTAGGAGCTACAGAGCGCTCAGGTGTGTGAGCCTGGCTGTTCACCTGGTGTGTGTGGTGTGTGGAACACCACTGCTTGTTGACAATTTTCTGCCCAGGGTGTGACTAGACTGTTTTTCTTCTCTTTATAGCCATCCTGTGGAGGGCCAGGGCATGGGCACCTTTTCCCGTACGTTCCTGTGACCATCCCAACACAAAACTACTAAGGCTGTCTCAGGGGCACCCCGTGCCAGGAGAGGAAAGGCGGCATCGCAGCACCACAGAGCCATGCCTTTCGGTCTGAAGCTCCGCCGGACGCGGCGCTACAATGTCTTGAGCAAGAACTGCTTTGTCACCCGGATCCGCCTGCTGGACAGCAATGTCATCGAGTGCACCCTGTCAGTGGAAAGCACAGGGCAGGAGTGCCTGGAGGCTGTGGCCCAGAGGCTGGAGCTGCGGGAGGTGAGTGTGCCTCTGCCCTGTGTGTGGTGGGGACAGGGAGGGAGCTCCTCGAAGGAACCATTCATCTGCTGACACCTTGGCACCAACACGTTGGCACCTGCCATGTGTTTTGGCCTAGGTGATGTGCTTAAAAGAATCTGCTATTCTTAGTGTGAGTGCGGCTCAGGAGACCCAAGCTGATGTTGCCAGAAGGAAGGGACACGCACACGGCTGGGTGGGGTGTCAGTTCTGTTTTGTTCCTCCCGTGAGGGTTTTGGTCGGGGGAGGTAAGAGAGACATTCTACCGAAGTCATTTTCTTTTCTCTCTTTAAAACAGTTGAGTGGGCAGTTGGCATGCGGGTTTGAGGCTGCAGCTCAGGGAGAAACCGCCCACATTCCAGATGGATGCGGCTGCTTTTTGTTTGTTTCTATATTTTCTTCCTCACAAAGAAAAAAAGGAGAAAAGCATTTAAAGTGAGAGTGGCTTATGAGACATCTTGAGAGAGCTAAACTTTTCTTTTTACATGCACACGCACACGTGTGCATGCAGAGGCCTGAAGACAAACCTTGGGTGGCATCCTTAGGAATGCTGCCCACCTCCTTTGAGAAAGATCTTGGCCCCTCCTGTCTCTGCCTCCCCAGCACTGGGATTCCAAGCATGCACAACTGGCTTTTTCGTGTGTGTTCCGGGGAGTGAGCTTGGGTCCTTAAGCGTGCATGGCAAGCGTGTCACTGGCCGAGCTATGACCTCACCCTGGGGAGAGTTTTTCCCACAGGCTCTGCTTCTTTTCTTTGTCTTGGCTGAGACCTCTTTGGACTTCACGTACACCACTCCTTTTTGTTGCTCATTTTGGTTTCCTGAGACAGGGTCCACGATGTAACTCAGGCTGGCCTCTAACTTGTGATCCTATCTCAGCCTACTGAGTGCTAGGATTACAGACACACCACCACCACAGCTGGCAGATCATCATTCTTTAGAAGGGACTTGGTGCAGGGTGGTGCTCTGGCAAGGGCTCCATTTCCCAGGTGTTCAGGATGAAAGGTCTTTGTGGGGAATCCATACTTGGGCCTTTTGAGTCCTTCTGGCTGGTGGGTAGCTGATGTGGGTGAATGGCCACTCTTGTTGCCTGACACAAGACCCCTGAGGTGCTCATCCTCAAGCGCCAGGAAACACTGACTCACCAAGGCCCTGAGCTCTCACTGGGATCTAGGTGACAGCCTCACACAGTACTTAAGGGGATGGAAAGGGCCGGTGGTCACTGTTGTGACCTGTGTCTACCTGACGTCTAGAGGTCCCCCTCATCCTGCAGCGTCGTCCTCAGGCTGACTGCTGTCCTCTGGGAACACCGCCATTTCCTGCTGGTCTTTCTGTTTGGACTCTGGTTTTAGCAATTAGGTGGGTCTTCTGTTCAGCTGGAGGCTGTTCTAGACAGCAGGTGAGTGGGGCTAGGCTGTGAGGAAGAGAGGAGACCTTAAGAAGTAGCTGGCTATCCCTTGCTTACCGTGGAACTTTGAGGTTTACATATTTAAACACAGATACAGAAGTGCATGGGCATAAATTTAGAAAGATCTCTGGTATTGTAGATGGGTTAAGCAGTATGCTTATCTAAATTTGTGTAAAAATTTAAATTGTAGACCATTAAAAGATATAATAGTGGTTTTATTCTTGAGTATTTATTTCTCAGCTCCATAGATGGTCAAATCATTTCAATGCACTGGGGCCAATGCAATAAGGGTAAAAAGCCCTAAGTATAGGATTTGTGGTCTTGGCCTTGGTTTAAATTGTGATTCTGAAGTTAATTAATTGACGATGGAAAAAATTACTGAGCCTGTCTGGGCATCAGTTTCCAAATCTGTGAAGTGGGAATAATGATGTTTGCTTCATAGACCTATTATAAATCTTAAAAGCAATTCTTTTCTGGAAATATGGAGTGTTGTATGCAAAAGTTCATAATTGTTAAGTCTGAATGTCTGGATGTCTTTTTTTTTTTTTTTTTTTTTTTTTTTTTTTTTTTTTTTGATATGTAGACCAGGCTGGCCTTGAACTCATAGAGCTCTGCCTGCCTCTGCCTCCCTGGTGCTGGTATTAAAGGTGTGTGCCACAACACCCTGCAAGTCTGAATGTCTTTAATAATAAAACTTTATGAGACTGGAGCAATGGCTCAGTGGTTAAGAGCACTGGCTGCTCTTGCAGGGGATCCGGGTTTGATTCCCAGCCCCACATGGCGACTAACAACAGCCTGTAACTCCAGTTGCAGGGGATCTGACACCATCTTCTGACCTCCGAAGCATTGCACAGCATGGGTGCATTTTCATACATGTAGGCAATACACTCATACACATAAATTAAAAACAATAAATAAAATAAAACCCACAAAATTTTATTAAAGAAGATATTGACTGACTTCCTTATGCTGGGCATAGTTTTAGGGCTTGATAGAAAAAAGATAAGAGTCCAACTTTGTCTTCATGACCCCCCCCCCGCCAGACACATACCGTGAATAGAGCCTCTACATTTTGAACCTGGACTTGAAGAATAATATATAGGATTTCAGGTAGAAAAGAAGACAGGCCAGCCTTAGCACAGGGTACTGGAGTTTCAGAGGCTCAGGGAAACATAAAAGCATCTGTCTGTCTTGGGGCTCTTTCCTGATTACTGTCAGAGCTTGAGGGAGCCCTGAGGAGCGAAGAGTGTTCGGAAGTGTGTGTGGTAGAGTTCCTCTCTTGAGAGGTCAAAGGGCAACCCCAGATGATCCCACAGCTGCCTCATCAGGAGGATAAAGCCAAAGTGCCTCCTGTAAGTGTGCATTGTCATGTGATTGACACCCCAGTGCGAAGGTGGGGTTCTGCTTTCACGCTGGCTTTATGCTGACATGCCCTTAGTGAGAATTTGTCACCTCTGAGCAAATCACTTTCTCTTTGACTCAGGCTTTAATCCTGTGACAGATAACATTGGAGGTATGACCCTTTGTAAACCAATCCTGTAGCTTCTTCTGAATGAAAGGGTAAGAGGGAGCAGGCAGATGCTGTGTCCTTGTGAGCACTTGCACACCTTGAACAAGAGTTTATCTTCTCCCCAAGAACAGCAGCAGGAGGGTATAAATGCAGGGTCAGAACCTCAAACCTCGATCTTGGTTTTGGTGTGGGGTTATTGTCTAATTTAACCTCTTTTTGTTTAACGAATTTGTATTTTCATCTTAAAGCTGTCAGCTGTAGCATTTGTTTCCTATCTGGCTATTTTCATAGTGGATAAAGATTTTAGAGACACAGGGACTTAGCACATAATGTCCCATCAAAGGAAAGTGAACTCATATGACAGATGGTGTGTATTTGATTGGTGCTCACCTGCGGGCACTTGGTAACTTCTGTTTGTTTAGGGAGTTTTTGATTGATTGGAACCCCTCATTCCCCATCCTAATCAGATACTGATGGGATCTTACTGTGTTTTGTAGCCTGCTTAACCATGGTCAAGGTTTAAAATGATCAGCACTGGGGCTGGTGAGATGGCTTAGTAGATAAAGGCCTTGCTACAGAGCCTGATGACCTGAGTTCAGTCCCTGGGACCACATGGTGAAAGGAGAGAGCTGACTCTTCTTGCAAGTTGTCCCCAGACCTTTACAGATGTGTACATACAAAGCAAATAAATAAAAAAATCATAACAATTAAAAAAATAAATACAGACCAAGAGTCTTCTAAGAGTAGATTGGTAGGAAAATTTCTTAGTCTTGGAATTTGGTATTGATTTCTTGTGAAGATTACATTTGGAAATCTTGCTAGCTTAATGCCAGGCCTCTACTGTAAACTGACAAGTGTGCTTTCATTTTTGTAGAAACAGAGGTGGTTCTTTCCCAGCCTTGACTCTTAAGTCTTGATCTTCGGGGTGCTCTGAGGAGTCACGCTACCTCACAGTCTTTCTTGGCCATGAGATTAGCTTCCTGGGTTGGTGTTTATTACTATGCAGCTTTTCTTTCTGTACTTTCCTGAAGATTTGGGCTACAAAGAGGGGGATGGTCCCCATATTCATTATAGAGGTATCAGTTTTAGAATTCCCAAGCCCACTCAGGGTAGACTGGATACAAGTCGGAGTTTGCAGTTATCTGTTGGCTGACAGTGGCTTACTTCCCACCGGACTGTGACTGTGAAGAGCCGCTCTCTAACCTGCCTTGTGAAGTATTTCTCATGCCTCAGTGCAACTTTAGTGCACTTTGTAACTCCTCTATGTCTTAGGTGGAGCTGTACCAACTCTTGAGTGACAGCTGAAGTACGGGGTAAGGCAGGCCGGCAGCCTGTTAGAGCTTAGAGCAAGATATTCTGAACGCCTGCTTCTGGCTGATTAGCTCTTCAGAATGCCTGTGTTAAGATCGAGGCTTTAATCCCTGGTAATTGCCAGGACTGCATGTGTAACCCGTGCAGATGGCACTGAAGTCATGCCACGGGTCACAAAACTGGAACAACCAAAGCCTCACCAGTCTTCTCCGATGAGTACTTAATAAGTGCAGTTATATTATCTCACTATAAATGAGTAAACGAAGACCAGGGGTCGGGTTCAGTGGTCAGGTGCTTGTCTGCCATGTCACGGCCCTGGTTTGACTCCCAACACTGCGATAAAGAGGAATCAAACCAGCAACATTCCAAACTTTTTTTTTTTTTTGTCTTTTTGAGACAGGGTCTCCCTGTAGCCCCAGTTGACCTGGAACTCACTGTGTAGACCAGGCTGGCCTTGAACTCACGGAGATCCGCCTGCCTCTGCCTCCCGAGTACTGGGATTAAAGCCGAGTGCCACCATGCCTGGCTCTCATTCCAAATTATTTTTAGTACAC